GGGAGGATGGGTTGAATTGGGTTTTGAGATGACCTTAGGTCAGTGACGGGAGTTCCGAGTTTGTATTTCACTTCATTGACCACAAAGCCTCTTAGAACCGGCTGGGTGGTGTCCTGTCATTTATCTGAGATGGTATATAGGGTCTCCTGCTTGAGCAGGGGGCTGGACTAGAAGACCTCCAAGGTCCCTTCCAGCTCTAGTCTATTCTAAGTTTGAAAGGGGTCATGGCAACTGGTCTTGATGCCAGATTTACTCTTATAAACCATAAATCTAAAACTGGAGAGGGAATTTTATTCCCATAAAACATAAGAACTGTAGAGCTACACTGAACCCTTGGCTCTTCCCCATTAAAGACATTTAACCTTTGAGTGGATAGCCATTTTTAACATCAGTAAATACTTCGATTTCCGGTCTTCTTGACCATCGCAGCAGCCGTCACCCATCTTTCTCTCTCTTTTCTTACAGAATTAACCAGTGGAAACAACCTGCCTCCAAAAAGTTGTGGGTGCTCCATCACTGGAGACTTTCAAAAAGAGTCTGGTTTCGTTGATCTGAAATGGTATGGGGTCTCCTACTTGAGCAGGGGGTTGGACTAGATGACCTCCAAGGTCCCTTCCAACTTTATTATTATTATTATTATTATTATTATTATTATTATTATTATTATTACTATTACTATTATTTAGACCTTTAAGTCTAACCAGACGCTAACCATTAGCTGGGAAGATAACTGCATAAGCTGTTTAGCAATAAATCAACTGAATATCTCCAAGGTCCCTTCCAACTTTATCATCATTGTTGTTATATTATTATTCCTTCCACTGAAGACAATGGCTCTAGCTTATTATTCCTCCCATTGAAGACAATGGCTCTAGCTTCATGAAGGTGGTGTCCCAGCACACACTTTCATTCCCAGAAAAGAATAAAACCAATGCAGATAGCTCCACAATATTTTAAAGAGTTTTAAATTAGGAGAACTGTTGAAATCTGAACGTTTGCCAATTGGTTATGTCTCCATTAATTGCCCAGGCCAAAATTCAACGACTAAAATCAGAAGCAGCAATGTTGAGAAAAGGTTGATCACCACCAAAGCTTATTCTACTGACCTACCGGTAAATTAAAATCCAAAATGTGATCTTTGCCACTGAAATCAATGATTGACCTACAACCATTGGAACATCAAACGGCTAATATCCCTGCCTGGAGCACGTCTCTTATACGTGTAGACCCAAAATATTGGCCTTTATTCGTGATAATATAATATAAAGCATCTTGGAAATTATCTATCTTTCCTGCAGCTGAAAGACAAGGAGCATTGTGACTTTTGAAGAAAATATGGCACATACCCCAGTAGAGGAAGGACAAATAAAGCCGAACAATAAACTGTGAATAGACGCGAAAGCCACATTGCTGTCTCCAACTTGTTACTCATCAGAAATTGCTAAAAAGGGAAAAAAAAGTTCGTATCAGAAAAAGTGTAAAGCCTGCCATTAAATCAAGAAATCTTCAGCAGTTGCACATAGACAGCAGGCAGCAATTCCGTTTTACAGGCAGTCCTCGACTTACGACGGTTCATTTAGTGACCGTTCAAAGTTCCAACGGCACGACGACCATTTTTCACCCCTATGACCGTTGCAGCGTCCCCCCGGGTCATGCGATTTCCCTTTTTTGACCTCCTGACGAGCAAGGTCAGTGGGGGGAAGCCAGATTCACTTAGCGACCATGTGACTAACTTAACAACTGCGGTGATTCACTTAAGAACGGTGGCAGGAAAGGTCGTAAAATGGAGCAAAACTCACTGAACAAATTTTTCGAGGTACATTTTTGGGCTCAATTTGGTCGTAAGTCGAGAACTGCCTGTAGTGTGTGTGTGTGTGCAGCAGTGCTCTTCCCTTAGCAGCAAGGTAACACCTGGGATGGGAGACCACATGGAAATCCCCGGGTTGGTTGATTAATCAGGGGATGGGAAGCCCTGGGATGGGAGACCATGTGGAAATCCCCGGGTTGGTTGATTAATCAGGGGATGGGAGGCCACACGGAAATCTCTGGGTTGGTTGATTAATCAGGGGATGGAAGGCCACATGGAAATCTCTGGGTTGATTAATCAGGGGATGGGAAGCCCTGGGATGGGAGGCCACACGGAAATCTCTGGGTTGGTTGATTAATCAGGGGATGGGAGGCCACATGGAAATCTCTGGGTTGGTTGATTAATCAGGGGATGGGAGGCCACA